GGGGGGCCGCCCCCCCCCCCGCCTTCCTGCCGCTGGCGGGGTCCGGTGGCTTCGGGCTCGTCCTGCGGGAGGGCTCGGTCGCCCCGCTCGGAGCTGCGGGCGGCCTGGCGACCGCGCGGCCCACCGCGAGGGGCGAGCTGGCGTTTTTCCCTGCATTGTTAAGGCTCCCTGTTAGAACTGAGGCTTCGTGGCTTCTGTCTCCCGTTGTTTTGCCTAAAATATGAAGAAAAGCAAAACATTGGCTTTTAAATACATGGGAAGAATAAAGTTCTGTCCATGTTTCACTCAGCATTAAAGCACAGCACCTCCTTTTACTGTTTTGCTTCATCTTAGGTGCTGAGCATCAGATACCCCAGCTGTGAAACAGGAGGAGTAGGACTCATTTATTGTGAGGTGAAGCTGTAATGCTCTGTGTAACTGCTAATTGTTATTTGTTTTTACTGTTCTCTCCTGGTGCAGCCACCAATGACATGTAAAAACATTAACTGCAGTTGTAAATCCTTCCATCAACATCAGCCTGTCTGACAAGTCTGCAGAAACCCAGTCAGCGAATCTTGCTGTGGTCACGCAGAGCAGGCACGATGGTGTAAAAACCATTAAGAAAAGCTGACCTTCAGGAGGCACAGAAATGGACAAGGACAGGGCTCTGGCAGTAACGGTCGTGTGCTCCTCTGGTCTCTGTCACTGCTGTGTTTGCAATTAGTCCTTAATCAGTCTGGAAGAGCTACTGGGGGAAGGAGGAGAGAGGCCGCGGGGCCTCAGTTGAGCGGTGCAAGCAGAGCAGGAGCCCAGAAGCGATGCCAGCTCCGGCGGCGGGGCAGTGGCTGGGGCCCGTGCTGCGGCCTCGTGCCCGGGCTGGGGCCTCAGGGCTTGGGCTGGCTCACCCCTGCGCCTCCCTCCCACGCTGCCGCATCTTCGTAGGGCCAGATTGTTCAGGGTGTCAGAATGCGTTGCACTGCATCCCTAGCGAGCAATACACTCACTTTTCATGTAACTTCCTGAAGCAAAGCACAAAGGCTATCAGCATCTGCCAGGTTCACTGTGTCTGGTTATGCTCAACAGTGTCATCTGCTTTCAGCTGGATGCAAAATTTTGGTTTCACTAGAGTTTACATACACAGGTAACATCAGAAGATTTTCAGTAAGAGTTTAGTATTAATGCATTTGAGGTCACAGAGGAATTTGTTACTAAGCAACTTTTTAATTGTCAAAAATCTCTTTCTTCCCAGGATTTTTTTCCGTATTATTCGTGAAAAAAAATATTGTGAATCCTCATATAAATGTGGAGCAGAGAAGGGATAACATGCTGTTTGCATGATTCAGACAGAATTCTTCTTGATATCAGTGAAAGTAAGAGAGCAGACTTCGGCCCTTGAGCTATTATTTTGCATAATGTTCATTTAAGGTGTTTTGTTTTGTTTTGTTTTGTTTTCTCAAGGCCACAGCTTAGTTACATGAAGCAGTTTTGCCTGCAAGTTTAGCACCTTGCCCCGTGATCTGTCTGGGTCTCCTAAAGGGAACAGGGTGTGCCCTGTTCACTGCATGGATGGTAGAGTTTATGTGAAACTGCAGGTACTGAAGGAAATGGAGTAGGTGACGGTGCTGTTGAGTGAAAAGTAAATAATTGCTGTCATTTAATATTAGACCTTCACTCCCTTTCACATGTCCACATTAAATAAAACTAACATTTTCCTGAGGCCAGACAAAAAATTTGCTAGAGCCATGAATAACCTGCAGGAACTGGGAATGCTGTGGAATTGAGAAAAACATGACTGGGACTGTGAAGACACTCTCATGTGAAGAAGCTCCTTTCCTTCACAGTCCTTTGGCACTCACTCTGTTTATCCCTCTAGTTTCATCATTTTGCTCCCATTTTTTTCCATGTAGGGCCAGAGGAAAAGGCTGTACAAGGACCGTTAATTAGAATTTGTTTTTATTATCTCCCTAAGGTCGTGGTGCTGAGCGCAGGAAGAAGCGAGTGTGCCTCGCTGACTCGGGTGGGCTTCGTTGCAGACAGAGGCAGGGAAAACCCCAGCTGAGGTAGTTTAGCTGAAACTGCAGAGAGAAATGAATTGTGATTGCCACTTTATTGTTGTTGCTGAATAGGTACCTGGTAATGAGGTTTAGAAATGTGTTAGCCATGCACACATAAACTATTGCAATCCCATGCTTGATGCAGCCTAACTTCTTACATGCATACTGGAACTGAATGCTTGCCACTTGGGCACACATGCTTCTGCAAGTGTGAGTCCCTGTTTTGAAGTATGTGTACATTTTTCTTTTTTTTTTAAATTCATTTTGGCTCAGGACACGATTACAGTTATTTTGTTACAAACTCTCATGTATTTAATCTTCTTCTAGTGAGATTACTGTATGTAAATTATAGTCCTGTTACCAGCCTCTCCTGCAAAACGTATCTTGTGGTGCAGTGTACGCGGTATCTCCTGAGAACAGCCTCCCAGAAAATATGCATGTTTGTAGAACTGAATGAAATAATGGTAGAGGAATTACAGCCACAGATAATACAGAGATCAGTAACTGTGGTATAAGCTGCCTCTTGCAAAGTTATACTCTAGGTAAATTAGCGTTTGGAGGCTGAGAAGATCCCAAGCTTTCACGGAAGACCTGTAAAGTGTGCAGGCTACGTCTGATGTTGATGACTTAGTGCCTCTTTGCTGAACTGTGTGACTTCGTTGCAGTTCACTAGACAGTAAAATGAGACCCAAATCCCAGGCAGTGGGCTGTGTAATTGTGATCTGCTGCTGAAATGCTCTTTGGCTAGAAACCTATTTGGATTTGCTTAGATTATTAGAATTTACTCACAGCTTAGGCTGAGCTTTCATTAATTAGTTCTCTCTGCACTAGGTGTCTCAGCATTGGTTTAGGGTATCAATTGTTTCAGCTTTGCAGGACAAATTGACGCTCGTCTGTAGCAGTGTGTAGTCTGATACTGTGGGTTCAAGGGAAAGCAAGACGTTGCAGCTACACAACTGCTTCCTTCCTGCATGACTTGGAAAGGGCATTATATGAACAGCCTGCCTTACCATGCCTAGAGGTACAACCTAGTAAGGCACCAAACACTCCCTGGCAAACGCCATCCCTTTCTTGAGGGACCAGCTCCAGCTGCACCTCTGGTTATCTGGACAGGGGATCTGGCTTTGTGAGAAGCCTTGAAATGGCTGCAAGATGGGAAGAATAAAGATACTCATAAAATGAGCACGTGTTGCATAGTGCTGATGTTACAATAAAGCTACCCAGTGAGGACTGAACATTGTTTTAGCTGTAACTTTAAAAACCACACTATAATTACACCAGTGTTAATAATGGGATAATTTGAACCAGACTGAGAATAAAAGTATTATTCAACAACTTTGGAAATGTTGGAGGAAGGGAAAAAGGAGGAGAGGAAGAAGTCTGCTGAAGTAGGCTTTGCTATGGCAGAACTCGTAAGAGAGAAAGGAAGTCCCTTACAGAAGGGTGACTGAAAACAACAATTTTTGTTGGAGTTTAATCCTCGGATGCTGATGTGAGTGCACATGAGGTCTCTGTCTGCCTGTACATGCTGGGTCTATTGACGTATCAGAGACCCCCAGGATTGCTTGTATAGCAGATTGCTTTGTTGAACAGTGTCCAAGACATTCTGAAGGGATTTGTCAGTGTTGGATATATCAATTCTTGGTCAAAATGTTATCTGATGTACAATGATTGTTATCTAAACCAGTGGAACATGATTCCCCCTTACTGTCAGTTTTTGAAAACCTAGAACCTTGTGCAATGTGAATTTGCTTTGGATTTGCTGTTTGACAGAAGGAGCATACCGTTTTATTTGCAGAAGCTATGCCCACACTCTGTATGTGACATGATGGAAAAAAAGTGTCGTTGCATGTCTTCTGTTTGAATTGTCTTCCTTGCACCATGCCCGTGCTCACGTGCTGAGCAGCTGTGAAAGATATTCTTCCCCTTTGCCTTTTTTTGATGAAAATACATTATGCACTTGAGTTATGAATAAAAGATCAAGGGCAAATCTGGGTAATGCTTTACTATGTACTTGTTAATAAACCCTACTTTACAGCACTGGTGCTCTTTTGCTGACAGATCCTTTTCTTAGGGAGATTCTGCCATTTAGTGTTTCTTTATGCTTTTTCTTCAAAAGGAAAGATTTGTTAGGGCTTCTTATTCACACATGCTGCTGGATTTCAGCAGATGAGATTTTCACTGTATGTAATTCACACTACTGGATCAGTGGATAACGTGTTATTTTAGCTCAGTATCATAATTCTTCTTGCCTGGCTCACTTCTTGGGAACTCAGTTTCTAGAGCTGCCTGAGCGATGTGAAGACCACTCCGCTCTAGGAATGATAGACACCTTTTGGAAAAGTGTCTGGGTTAAAGGACTGTAACTCTGCAAGAGCCTCGAATTTATTCCTACCAGGGCTCTGTTACCATTCTTTGCTATGGATTGAGATTGGATTGGAAGTCTTGTCTGGAAGCGCTAGCATCTACCTACAGGACATGGTGTCTGGTCCTCACTGAAGCCACTGTCCCTTTACGTTGCTCTGACAATAAGCCAGAATCGGGCCCAACACATCTGCTGGGGCCAGACGTTTCTTTTTCTCTTTGCCATGCCACTCTTCTCAGAAACTGCGCTCTTCTCTCTGGCCTGATGGAGTTTTGCCCTGGTGAAATGTTGCATTGGCTTGGTATTTAGGTATGAGACTGCTGAGGAGCACTGAATGTTACAGGGTATGTGGGTGAAGGATCCTTAGGTGGCACCTTGAAGTCATTTCTGAATCAAAGCCTAAGCCTAGAACTGCAAGTACTGTTTTTCTTTCTTCCTTTTTTTATTTTAACTATTGTGTGTAAAAATCACCCAGAGTGATGAAAGTTCCCATGTGGCTTTTTAGCTGAAATCTTCTGTCCAAAATCCAACCTAGATATTTTTTTTCTTCCCAGAATTACTCCTTCAATTTCTGCTGGAAATTATTGCTACTCCTCTGAGTGCCTTGAAGTTCTGCAGTGTTGCTAAATGCTGATAAACAGCTTCAACATTTCTCATTATGCGTGGGTGACTTGATTCGTATTTATAGCTTGTGTATTCACACTGCAAGATGTAAGGTGATATGTATACATCCCATTGCTACTACAGACTTCGCTGAATACAACCCTTTCTTTCTAACATTCACTGCTGCTTCTTTTAAGACACCTTTTTTAGCACCCACAGAATTTGGTGAAGTCAGTTGTCCCATGATTTCCTGAAAGCTTGAATGCTAATTTAGCACTTTGTCATATGGAATGACCTCAAACCTGTGAATGACGTCACACCATTAGTATATCGGGTTTAAGCATAGCTCTGCTGTGACTTTTGGAACATACACTTTAAGCTCAGGCTAAATTTTCCCCTAGCTATATTGAAGGTTATGTAGGCATCTGTTAAAAGTGGAACATGCTTCATCCTCCTCCCTTTGATAGATGCTGCTTTTCTTTTCCATCAGAAGTGTAGCTGCTTTTCAAATGAACTGCGTTGGTTTTGCAGCTGAATAGGTAAGAACCTTAGTGTGGTCCTGACATATATTTTACATTTAGGTCACCTGTATATTTGGCCCAAATTTTCAAGTTTCACTCTTCTCAGGCTGCGTTTTGATGGATTTGGCCAATGGCTCGTATTTAGCAGGGAAGCATTATGGGATGCTTTTACTACTGAAGTCATTTCATCAAAGGAAATTATATTATGTTACAGTAAAATGCTTGGAACATCCTGTGTAAAGAAATACAAGCAAGAGTTGAATTTCTTTCATTTATTATTTGAAAAGTGCAGATGCATTTCTAAAGCCGTTGTGATTAAAATTCTAAGGTTTTTGTTCTTTTCAAAGGGCAGCTCTGATTATAATTTTTAAAAAAGTCTTAGAGCTTGAATATCTCTGTATTCACTAATCACATGGTATCCATGTCAGAATGCTTCACAGAAGCTTGTCAGGAATCACAATCTTTTATAAGATCCTCTTATCACCACGCCATTCCCTAAGCGCCTGCACATCAGACTTACTGTGTTGTCTTCACTCGGCCCCCAAAACTTCTACCCAGGTGATCTTTCTCCCCCTGCCTTGGTGGTCTGGATCTTAATCATACTGTGTGATCACAAATGGCTTCGGTGCTTATTTGAACAAGATCAATTTTTACTGGGCAGAGTGAATTGATTCTTCAAGTCCTGCCAATATGACATTACTGGCTTTATGAAAATTGATTTAAATATTATTACAGCATATTAACTAACATTAATAACTAAAGTATTTGAAAAAGCTGATGCAATACTCCTTGCTTTGAACAGGGGCAGCACTAACGAGCTTAAATCCCAAAGGAAGCTACCGTTTCATCTGACTGGTCATGTAGATGTTAAAGCCCGTATGCATTGACTATACCGGACTCTTAAAAAGCAGTGAAGCCATCTAAGTTCACATGTTCTCACGTCACACCTTTACATCCTCCTTGTAAACGTTATGGAGCACTTGACGAGTAGTTCTTCAGCTGGTCTGACAGAACTGCAAGTGAAGGTGCACAATACTTTGTCTTTTCCCTTTCTGAGGTACAATGAGCAGCCTCTGTAGTAGTACCAGATTCTGCTGGTTTGAAAATTAGAAATCAGATCCAGAAGTAAGAGAGAGAACCTTGGCTCAGGAGCCCAGCAGATGCTTCAGAATTCATGAATTGATTAAGGTAAAAATTCGAGGGTTTGATTAACTGTTCAGCTCTCAGGTTTGAATTCGAAAAGGCTGTAAGTATACAAATTCATGATTTTCTGCCTTAGCCTTGAAAATTGTACTTTTTACATTAGCATGTTATGTTAACTATCTGTTTTTTAAATTATGACCATGTTTTCAGAAGAATCTTGCTGAAGTATCTGCAGCTTAAGTGCAGTCAGCAAAAAAAATCTGCACATGGTAACTGCCTTACACAAAGATTTCCCTCTAAAGCTTCCCCTCCGGGTTTTGGTTAATGTTTGAGTAAAAGGCTTTATTTTATCATACGTTTATTATTCTGAGTAACCTATTTTTGCCCCGAACTGATGTGTGCTAGAGACAAAGCTGGACTTTCCTGTTCCCCTTGCATGACAGATGTGAAATCACGGGCGGGTGCGTATCGTGGTCGCGATTCGGTGAGCTGTTGAAGCAGCTTCGTGACTGAATTCCAGCGGATGTTTTGTGCGGTGCTTCTTCAACCCGAGGCGTCCGCTGTTAACGTCCCGCTGAGCGGAGCGGCGTCCGGCTGAGCGACCCGGAGCCCGCCCGCAACAGCGGGAGCAGCTGCACGGCAAATCCCCCTTCCCGCGGTGCTGCTCAGCCGCCTTCCCCCGCGGCCCTTCAGCCGGGGCGAGCGGCCGGGGCCGCCCTGC